TCTATCTATCTATCTATCTATCTGTCTGTCTCTCTGTCTGTCCCTCTATCCAAAATAACAGCAATAAAAGATTTTGTAAGGACATAATTTCAATGTTTGGCTGGCCCTACTATGGGCATCAACAGCCTAAACCAGTTGGACAAAGAGAACTCACATTCCAGATGAGCCAACTGTCTTAGGAGTAACCAGAAAAAAATGCCCTGTGGCAGCAGAAGTGTGTGTGTGTGTGTGTGTGTGTGTGTGTGTGTGTGTGTGTGTGTGATGCTACAGAGATGAAACAAAACATAGCCATGCCAGCCGCTATGGAACGATCAGATCTGGACAAGAGCCCTTTTAAACAATGTGAAATTCTAAAGATGGGAGTGGGCTGGGTGCCTAGGTCAGCAGGCATTCTTGGGGAAGGTTTCCACTTAAGTTTCTAAAGCTTTGGTGAAAAACTTTAAAGAGGAAAAACAGAAAAGAAAAAAAAAAAGAAATGGAGGTAGGAATGGAGAGAGAATGGGTTTGGGAAAATATCTCCTTCCCGGAATGGACTGAAATAGTTAACTGGATCCTGGCAATTAGAAGAGTTAGATAATTAGATTGTGACTTGGGGAAGAAGAGAAGGAAACCTGTCTCGGCTAAGTACACTCGGTAGGGAAGACACGCCAGTTTATCAAAGGAGTGTGCAGTTGGTTAGCAAGGCACATTTGAAGCGATTCAGAAAATGAAACAGATAAAAATGTTCAGTGAATAGGCTGGAGTTAGCAAGCCAAAGGAATTCTGCCTGTCTATAAATTAGATCCGGAAATCAAAGTCCTGCCTTTAGGTGCCATCCCCCCTTCCCCTCCCCCCACCCCAAACGCAGGCTGATCTACGGCTTTTTATTCAAGCCCGTGCTTTGTGAGCACAATTCTGGGGCGAAGAGCCTTTAAGGTTATATTTGCCTCTTTCCCTGTCTCTTGCAAACAGTGCGTCGTCCCGAGCACATTTGTTGGCTGGAAAGGTGTGCAACAGCAATTTTTGCAATGACAGTGCGGAGAGGGAATATGAGATCTGTGTGCTAATGAGCTGACACTGCAGAGGCTGAAGCCGGCATCGGGAGTGCGCTAGGAGAGCACACGGCACAGCGGCGAGAGAGGCAGGAGGGGGCCTTCAAGGGAGAAGGCGACAGCTCGGGAACGGAGCAGCAAGACGGCGGAGGGAGAGCCAGGCTGCTGAAGCAGCAGAGGGCCCGGCCAAGCCGAGCTTCAAGGAGGCTTTGGAGGAACCCAGAGCTCCAGTGACATGTGTGCGTGTCTGTGAAGCTCCCTAGATTGTGTGTGTGTGTGTGTGCGCGCGCGCGCGCGCCACCTGTGCCCGAGTGCCAGCGCACAGAAAAATCTCACTGACCACTGGATGGGGGCTAGAAACCAAAAATCCAAATGAATAAATCCAGTTACTGTCTGTGAAACCCAAGAAGGTTGATGTTCAAAGATTCCACAGGCTAAACTTTCATTTGCTTCCATTCTGAAGCTTCAGATGAACTGGCCCGTAAAGCCAGACATCTTTCTCTAGCCTCCAGGTCCCTCTCCGGGAGTCCTACAAAAATGTCTTGCTAGCAGAGGGTTATCTAGAAACAACTTATCATCTCATAAGAGGGAAGGAAGGGGCCTTTCTTTAGGCAGGTCTTACCGAGTGTATTTGTCTCAGGACCCAGAGGGTAGGAAAGGCCTAGAAGAGTCATAGCATCATCAAGCTAGAGCTAGAACTAGAAAGAGACCCCTGAGGCCAGTTAGTCCAATCTTCTCATTTTACAGATGAAGAAACTGAGTTCCAGGGAGAGGAAGGGACTTGCTCAAGGTCACATATGAGATCACATATCTAGAATGGAAGGGACCTCAGAGGTTACCTAGTCCACCCCCTTCATTTTACAGAGGAGGAAACTGAGGCCTAGGGAGGGGAAGGGACTTGCTCAAGGTCACTCAGCTAGTAAGTGGTAGATACAGGATTTGATTTCAGGACCTCTGACACCAAACATGCCAGATTTTCCATTGTATCACCCTGGGAAATGAAATGAAGTCAAACATTGGAGCAATCAGATCCTGGAATGCCAGGGAAGCCAATTAGGAAAAGTGTCTTTTGGGCTAGCCCTGGCTAAACTGATGGGGAGAAGCAGGCAAGGCAATGGGTCCTGTCATCCTCTTTTGTACTTTGAGGAAGTTAGATTAGATGATCTTTTCTTTCCCTATCTGCTCCTGGATCCTCTGAGCCTATGCCTTTTGGCCCCATCTGGTGCTCTTTGGTACCTGGCCCCCAGGCTCCTGTGTTAACTAGGGTTGAATGGGAGGCTTCAGGGTTCTCTTTTTATTGGAAATGGCAGCCATTTGAGAAGTCGATGAAGGTGCTAGTTATTCCTGGTACTCCCTACTAGGTTCAAGCACTGAAGAGGGGTCATGTGTCAACATTTCTGATGACTTCTGCTTGCAAAGAGCAATACAGATTCTCAGGGAGGGGTGTCAGAGAGCAAAGAGTAGCTCCTCTAGCACCCTAAAATTATTGTCTGTTCTATTCTCATGTGGTTTTAGAAAAGTAGATTTCAGGCTGGAAGGTTTTTGGAGATCATCTAATCCAACCCCCTCATTTTACAAATGAGGAAACTGAGGCTGAGAGAGGTGAGATGACTTGTCCAAGGTCACACAGCTCCTAAGTGGCAGCACCAGGGTATAAATGCAGGTCTTCCTACTCCAAATCCCAACACCCTTTCTACTGCACCATGCTCCCTCCAATCTGAGCTGTGCTTTGGCCAGCCAAGCTTCCATGGGCAAGCCCACTCAGCAGCTATCCTAAGCCATCTTGAAGAGGTGGCCTGTATTCCCAGACTGTGACATTCAGAGATGTGTGCTTGGGGGACTGACTGGGAGAATGACAGCTTTCTGAGTCCACTGTCTGTCACTGCACCATCTCTGAGTGGGCAAAGGACAGCTGGATATATTTATCACAAGTACTGCTTTCTAAAGCCCTGCATTGGCATAGCTGCATGGACCAGGTCACCTCTTTGCTTCCTTTCTTTGACAACTTTGCCTGTTTAGGAGCTTGGTAGCCAAAGTGTCGTGGATTTGGTTTGAGAGATCTTACTAGCTTTTCACTAATAGGAAAAGGTGACGTAGAGTCAATAGGGATGACTTCTTTTCTCTTCAAAACCCTGAGTCCAATAGGGAAACTGCTTCATCAATTCTGTTTCCCTGTGGTAAAGACAATTTCCTAATAGCTGTCCAACTGTGATCTCGGCATCAGGTATAAGTTTCATTAGCCTCATTCATTATTGACTAAGAGAACTCGCCCAAACTTTCATTTAACAAATTGTTTCATTTAACAGTTGGCACTCTTGTCTTAGTCTGCATCAATGAAGAAACAAGTATTCTGGGTAAATGAACATTGTCTGGCCAGATGACTGGTTGGATAGCAGAATAATTGATATTTAGGAAGCTATGTTTGAGATACAGCCCTTGAAGGGATTACAGAGAGGAAGGATTAAGAGTCAGGTGTGTGTTGTAAGTGCTGTTGAGACAGGATGAGATTAGTGGAATAAGATGCAAAGTATAGACAGGCATTTTATAACTTTCACACTTAGGCAAAATTAATCAGTTCCTATTTTTATCCCTGTCGGCAATCCCAAAGATGTCAGATACTTAATAGAGCAGAATGTTAAAATAAGGCTCTGTAGCCTCATCTAAAATATCCTCAAGATATGTAAAGTTGATGACCCTCTGATTTTTTTGGTAACCTTCCCCACCCTGGTATTCTCCCCACCTTCCATCCTGTAGCCTAAGGAAAAGTATTTTGGGTGCTTTGTACCATTCCTTTTGGCCCTTCCACTTTGGGGGCAGACCTAGAGGCAGCCAGATTTGGAAGAAGATTTATTCAACGGCATACATAGCTCTCTCCTCTCTCCGAACCTGAACTGAAAAAACAACTCCCACCCCCACCCAAACCATCCTTAAAACCAAAACACCATCTACCACCTCTTCGATCTTCTCCAAACTTTTAGTGAAGTAAGCCTGGACTGAAAAGCCCTATTCATTCATACAGACTGTTGCATTCATGGAAAACCATTCCCCAACAGGGTGCTAGAAACCACGATCCCCATGCTCTCAGGTCTTAAAATTTTCCCATTTAGAAAGAAACAATCCCAATACAACAGCAAAATCTGGGTTTCAGGTGGCACTTGGGGTAGATGCTGTGCTTATACAAGCTTTTTGGGCTTTGGGTTTTTCCTTTTTCTTTCTTTCTCAGAATTAAGGACATAATGTTATCATTAACAATGTGGGGGGGGGGGAGGCGGAAGCAGGGAAAGGAATGAAAAAATACTCCACAGGCCAAACTAGCTTTCAGAATGTTAAGATCTAGCATTGGATTTTCCCTTCCCTCTCAGCTGTCTGGGTATTCATCACTTGCAATCAGTTTGTAGCCTTAACAGTTCCTATCAGGGCTGTCTCTGGAAGAAAGGTGATCTTCTAGGACAGAAGGAGGCCAGGAAACCCGCCCCGGATCTGTCCCCTCAAGGTCACTTGTTAACAGAATTCCTCACGTTTGGTTCCTCTGAATTAGGCAGTTGTCAAATTCAGCTGTTTCCCATGGCCAGGCAGGGACCAACCTAAGCGGCTAAGTAATGTGCATCTCCAATTTCCTCAGTCAAGAGGTTGTCTTGTTTCTTTCTAAGTCTTAGGCGATTTCTCCGAATAACTGTGCCATCTGTCCCCCCCTCTCCAGGGAGGGGATCTGGGAGCAGGGAGGGGGAGGAGGAATTGACACTTTTGTATTAGACCTTCTCCAAGGCAGTTTTCCTCATAGCCTTAACCAGATTGCCAATACCCGTGAGGTTAGCACTGCTTACAACCCCCTTGATTTAGAGGGAAGAAATGATCTCTCTCTCCCCCATCCTCCCGCCACCCTCAAAGAGGGACCCACCAAACCAAGCAAGTCAGCCAGCCCAGTGCAAATGGCAGGTGTCCCAAGGGAGGCTAGGCAGCGCTACTTACAAGCGTTAGTCACAGAGAAACTATTGGAAGAGTCCAAGTGATCAACGTGGTAATTCAAATGGAAGGGCTTCTCGGTGGTGTTCTGGTTGGTGTTGTATAACTGGACGGCAAAGCGGAAAGCGCTGTGCTCCTGGACGGTGTTTCTCATGAAGAGTCCACCTAGGAGCAAAGGGATCAGAGATTGGGGGTGGCCTCCCTCAGGGCTCCTAAGGAATGCTGCGGGATGGGGGGCGGCATAGGTTAAGGATTCATCCTGTTGGGACTGGGATGGGGAGAGGGCTGGCGCAAAGGTTTATTGATTTTTTTCCCCCTCTGTGGGACTCTTAGTTGGTAATATGGCTTTCCTCCCATGGCGGTGGGGAAGGAAGCAAAGCTGAACCCCGCAGAAGAGGCGATAGAAGATTTGTTCTCTCTCCCCCCCCCCTTAGCCCAGCGGGCAGCAGCTTTCCTAGGCAGTCTATACCGCCGCAGCCGCAAGCCGCAGCCACCATCGCGCCTTTCCACTTTGGGTGTTGGGAGTCCCTTTGCACCCCGCTCCCGCCCAGGGAGGGACCCATCTCCTTGGGCCCCACTCCCAGTCTCAGTCCTGGATGCCAGGCAATGTGTGGAGGGCAATGGTGGCAACTTCAGCACTTGTCTACACATATCGAAGCCTAAGCCGAGGGAACTAACTCCCTGTCCAGCTGGTGCCCAATGCCAGCCACCCAGCCAGGAAGAAGGGGCACTTCCCGATCGGCGTGGTCTCTACCTGCTGCCTGCTCTCCTATTTATTGCCCTTGCCCCCAGTCTCTGTGTTTACCCCGAGGGCTCCTGTGCCCCTCCAACAATCCACCTTGTCTCAGCCAGCAGCGCCCCCCTCTTTCCAGTCTCCGCACCCCAACATCCTCTGGTTTCTCTCTCCCTCACCGCAATAGCATTCTGTCAATAGCCCGTCTACCTACCCCAAACAGCTTCAGTTTTTCTTCCAGAGCTCTCTCGTTCCCCTTTCCCATAGCCCCTGTCTGCCTCCTCAAAACGGCCCCCTGTCCCCTCACCCCCAGCCACTATAGCCCGCTGTTCTTTTTTGCCCTTTCGAAGGCGGAGGTAAAATTTCTTTTCCACCCCCAACAGCCTCCCTCCCCCCACAACCGCCTTAAAGATGGGGCCGAATTGTACTCTTCCTTCTCTCCTGCGGGATAAACAGGACTACCTTCCTTTTTCTTTTTTCTTTTCTTTCCTTTCTCTTCCCCCCCCCCCCCCCCCCCCACCCATCCCGGCCCCACTGCTTCCGCGCCCTGGCACTGCCTGCAGCCGGGCATCACCCTGGGATAAGTGCCAGGAGCAAGATGCCAGAGCGAAGTCGGGCAGAGCGAGCCGAGCAGCCGTCAGTCCGGGCCCCCCAGGAGCAATGCGGGCTGGCCCCTGTCTCTGCTTTTGCTTGCCGCCGGTTTTCTCCGGGGCGCCCCCAGCCCCGACGGCCCCGAGCCCTCTGCAGCTTTGTGCCCCCTTCTACTGCCCACAGCCAGGACTTTTCCCTGCAGTTGCCAGGAGATCTAGGCGTGCCGGGCTAGAAGGACCCGCCGCAGCCGCAGTCCAACTCCCCAGGGCCAATAGCTCCAGGACCCGGAGGGTGCCGTCGGCCTGGCTTCCCCTCCCGGTCGCGACTCGGGCTCGGGTTGGTATCTGACTCTGTCTTGGGCTCGGGCTTCGGCTCCGGATCGCGCTTACCTATACTGATGGTGTTGGGGAATCCTCCGAAAGAATGAGCCAAGAACCCCAGGACCAGGAGGCAGCTGGTCTGGAGCGCGCCTTGCCTCATTTTCTTCAGCCTTGCCCTGCTTCCGTTCCTAAAAGGAAACTGAAAAATGCATGGGCGCAACTCGGACTAATCAAAAAAGAAAAAAAAAAGGAAAGGAAATGAAATAAAAATAAAAATAAAAAAAGATTCTAATTGGGGAAAAAGAATAATAAAAAGAATTCTCAGGCTCTTCTCCACCTGCTCCCCAACTTGCTTTTCCTCTCTGCCCCACACACTAGTCTTCCTCTTTCTCCTCCTCCTCTTCTTATTCTCTCCTTTCCCTCTCTTGCTCTCCCTCGCTCTCCCTCGCTCTCACTGCCTCTCCCCTCCTCTCTCCCTCTCCCTCCTCCTTCCTCTCCCTCCCTCCCCTCTTCTCTTCCTCCCTCCCCTCTCCTACTCTCCCTCCTCCTCCCTTTCCTCTGTCTCCGCTGTCTCTTTTTCTCTCTGTCTCTTCACTCTCTCTCCTTTCTCCTGTTTCTCTGTCTCTCTTCTGTTTCTCCCCCTTTCTCTTTTTCTTCCTCTCACTTTTCTCTCTTCTCTTTCTCCCTCTCTTCTTTTTCACTGCCTCCTCTCTAGTCTCTCTCTCTCTCTCTCTGTCTGTCTCTCTCTCTGTCTATCCCCCCCCCCCCCCACCCCCCGCCCCCCTCTTCCGTCTTCACACCAATCTAGAAGTGCAAATGGCTTGAGCAATTTCTCACTGTCCCTAAAAACAATAATAATAATGTTTTTTTTTTGAATCCCCAAGACTTTCCCCAAAAGATGATGGGTACGGTACGGCTAGGGGTAAAAGCAGTAGATCAAGCCAAGGCTGCGGGCTTGCGGGCTCGCTCGCTAGCCGGCTGGCTCTCTGCTGGCTCGCTGCTGGCTGGCTGGCTGCGGGCTGGCTGGCTGCTGGCTGGGCAGGCGCCTCCGATTGGGCCGCCGCCGGCAGGGGGATATTGATCAAAGTTGAGCTGACGTGGAATTAAAGCAGCACGCGCCCCACTCCGCTCCCTCCGCTCCTTCCCTGCAAACTGCAGCCCCGGACTGCAAAGCCCGGCGGCGGCAGCAGAGGCAGCGGCTGCGGCCGGGCCGTTTGTCAACACGCGAGGTGCAATCAAAAGCAACAAACCAGCTTTCACGTGAACTAGCCTTTCAATCTGCAACTGGCCCTTTTTAAAAGCTGCATTGCCTCTATGTTCGCGCGCGCCCGTGTCTGTGTGTGTGTGTGTGTGTGTGTGTGTGTGTGTGTGTGTGTGTGTGTCTGCCTGGGGGTGGGGGACAGGGAGAGGTGCTGGGCTAGGAGGCGGTGGGAGGGGGGGGAGGGTGGGGAGCGCGAGCTCAGGCTGCTTCCGAGTCGGTGGAGAGACTCAGAGAAGCAGTCAGTCCCCAGCACAATGCGCCCGAGGAGGCTGCGCATGCCTGGTCTTGGACGCTCAGTTTTTACAGCAGGAATCCTAGGCGAGTGCACCCCCCCCCCCGCCTTCTTCACCCCCCTCCCCCAGCAAAGCAGGGGTGTGTGTGTGTGTGTGTGTGTGTGTGTGTGTGTGTGTGTGTGTGTGGGGGGTGTCTGAGAAAACCCTCCCCCCCTCCCCAAGGGTAGATGGGGGGGGGATAGTGGTGATGGACAAAGTGGGGGCGTAGGGGACAGTTTGGTGGGAAATAGCCAGGTAGATATGGGAATTAATTTGGGGGAAGGGAAGGAGGAAAGGTGGGGGGAGCTGCTAGCTGCCAGTACCTCTGTTATTTAGGAAGGCACGGCAGCCCCCCAACTAAGGACACCCCCAGTAGCAATCTGCTCTCCATATTTAACTCTAAAGTCCATTCTTCAATCTCTCCCTTTTCTTCAATTTCCTTCTCAAGGATTCCAGCATGGATGAAAGGAGGTGGCAGTCATATCCTCTTAATGATCATAGATTCAGAGCTGAAAGGGACTTCAGAGATGAAGAGTCTGAGCTCCCACTTCTAGAGGGAACCCCTTCTTCAACCTCCCTGACACGGTTGTCCTCCAGCCTCAGCTCTTCTTTTCCACCTATCCCCCTCAACTCCCCACTTCTACCTCCATAGTCACTTCTCACCACTATGCTCCCTCTCCCTCCCCACCCCTCAACTTCTACTTTTAAGTTCTTTGCTTTCAGCCAGGGCAGTGAAAGACACTTCCTGCCTCAGCTCGGGACCCTTTGCTGGAAAACAGATTGGTTTTGACAGAGCACCTATCAAGGTTCTGGTGGGTGGGGGGTGGGACATGACTGCTGTAGATCTTCAAGAACTTGCAAGGGATAGACTGAGGTAGAAAGAGATGTTTATTCTCAAACTTTGGGTCCCTGGACAAATAGTTCCGGGGGTTCCTCCCAAAGCTCCGCTCGTTGTGCTGATAGGAGGGTCCAGGTAGGTTGAGCACTGCCTGGGAGCCCGGAGGAAAGTATCTGGGAGGCTCTGAGAATTGACAGGAGGTAGAAATAGGCTGGAGGAGGAGACAGCAGAAATTGGACTGGTCCTCAGCAAGATTGTTTAGTAGGGAGGCATTGGCCCTGGAGTCAGTGGATCTGGTTCCATATCCTTCCTCTGGTACTCTCTGTATGACCTTGGGCATATCTTTGAGCTTCTCTCATTTTTCTCATCTGTAGAATGAGAAGGTTGCCTCTGAGGTCCCTTCTGCCTCTGATTTGTGATCTATTCTCTGAGCAAACCTCTGTGGAGTCTTTCTGTCTTCTTTTCCCACCCACTTTGATGCCCGTGACTGATCTGATCATCACCCCTTTCGGGTAACACTTGTGCCTGAACAAGACCATTCAATGCTTTCCCCCAAAGGAATGGCTAATGATGGGAATTTCCAGACAGCATAGCAGGCAGGGGAGATATATTTGGTCCAAAGTGCTGATCTGGGTCCCTTAGTCACATGGTACAGGTGACTGCTTTGCCTCTTTGTAAGACTAGCCGGGAGAGGAGCCCAGAACAGGCAGCACCTTCACAACTTGTGGTACAGCAGACACCCCCAATGGCCTGGGAGTCAGCAGCTCTGGATTCCAGTCCTGGCTCTATGTAAACTGGGACAAGTCACCTCCCCTTTCTGATTGGACCAGGTGTTTGATCTCAAAAGACTTTTCCTTCCAGCTCTCAGCTTCTGCCAAGTGATAACTAGTAACGTTATTTTCACTTCTAAACTAGCCACATGAAAGAGCATCCATTAATGAGAGGAGCAATGAACAACTTTGACAGCTACAAACTGCCATCATTGATATTAGCAGTTGTTACCACTTATTATTTTATTTGCGTTTGCTCTCTGCATGTGTGTGTGTGTGTGTGTGTGTGTGTGTGTGTGTGTGTGTGTGTATGCGCGGCGCACGCGCGCACGAGCAGCTTGTAACCAGCTGCTTCAATGCAGCTTTTCTCTGATAGATGGTCCCTCAGGTAGGTTGGTTCAAAGGAAGAAGCATGCTTCAAATCTTGCAGCTTCCACTTGTTCCTGGATTGACAGGTGTACCTGGGCCATGCAGTGAGTGCTTGGGTCCCTACAGCGAGAGCCACATTTGATGGATAGCTGCCCCATGCACATGTCTGGAACCCTCTCCCTTTCTCCATACTCTGTAGAGGAGTAGCACAGCTCTGATTTATGGGGAAAGAAACTGCTCTAACTCTAGAGGGTCCCAAGCTGAGAAATTATGTCCTTTTCTCTCACTGGGTGACCTCAAATAAGTCTGAGCCTCAGTTTCCTCTTCTGTCAAATAACAGGGTTGGGCTATGTGATCTTGATGATCCCTTTCTAGCTATGGAACTCTATGTTCTTTTTTTTTTTTGCAAGGCAATTGGGGTTAAGTGACTTGCCCAGAGCCACACAGCTAGTAAGTATTATGTGTCTGAGGCTGGATTTGAACTCAGGTCCTCCTGACACTGCGCCACCTAGCTGCCCCTGGAACTCTATGTTCTAAGGACGCTTCTGGTTTTACTATTCCATGAGTCTATGACATGGGATTAATCTAGTGCCATGAGGAAAGTATCTCCATCCTAGGCTGTCACTAAGCAATTGATGGTCCTGCCTCCTTGGAAAGAGAGACAGGAGCCATTCCTTAGCTAACTCCTGCTACCTCTAGAATTTCAAGGTGGCTTTGAGTTCTGCTTCTATGGAACACTTGCTGTTTTTGCCACTTCTTTTGCTTTAGGGGTAGTCACTGTCAAGAATAATAGAAAAAGCCTGAGAAAGATAAAGACAATGTGGTATGGGGCAAATAGCATGGGTTTGGGGGTCAGAGGACCTGGATTCAAACCTTGCCTCTGTCACTCACTCCTTTTGTGACCTTGGGCAAATCATTTCCTGTCCCTGGGCCTCAATTTCCTCATCTGTAAAACGAGAACATTTGACTAGATGGTTTCTGAGGCCCCTTCTAGCTCTAAGTCTAGAATCCCATGATCCTCTGACCCCCACCCCCACCCATCTCTCCATCGTCTAGTGATTATCAAGTCCCTCCAGTCAATTCCCTCCTCCATTTGGCCTTCTTCCCACATCAATGAAAATGATGGAGTCAGAGACTTAGAAGGTTCATTTTTTTTCCCTAATCCAGGGCATGATATGGAAGCAAGTCGCAGCTGGAATTAGGAGAGGGTAGAAAAATTGACTTCATTCTAAGAGGAATCTGAGATCTTTATATTCTTGACTTAATAAAGTGAGATTCTTCTGGTCATTTGGCCAGTGGTCCAATTCCTTTGTGCTGCTATCCTAACCACTCTTACCCCCCTCCCTCTTCCAACTGAATGTGGGCTTTTCTTCCATTATAACCATTTGCTTTGGCACTATACCCTAATCCTCCAGATTTCCTTGGTCTCTCTGGCCATGAGGCCCTCTGTATTTCTGTTTGAATAGGTGGGGCATGAATGAGCAGAGATTCCTGGTCGCAAGACCCAAATTAAGATGGGATACCTATGGGAGTACTATGCCAAGTGGCATATGGTCTATTGAATTCACATTTTGGGGTGATTCTCTCTCCCTCCTTGGAAGATTGGTGTGGATTGTGGCAACTTGGATCCTAATTCTTTCTATATGGCTTACTTTATACCCTTATGCACCGTCTC